TTCCTCCATCATTGCTAACCCCCTGCCCCCTCCCTTCCCCTCCCCCCTCTTTGCCCTATCTAGAGTTTGTCAATTCCTCCATGCTCCCTCTCCCTACCCAACTATGAGTCAGTCACCTTATATCAGAGAAAACATTCACCATTTGTTTTTTTTGGGGATTGGCTAACTTCACTTAGTATTATCTTCTCCAACTGCATCCATTTACCTGCAAATGTGAGGCTGAGTACTTTAGAAAGAGATTTATTTAGGCTTAAATTTCAAGATTGCCAATTCATCTGTTCTTCCTCTAGTGAGGGCTCCCTTAGCTATATCAAAACCTGGTGGAGAAATGGAAAGGGAACTTACTGTGTGCAAAGGGATGACATGATGAGACACAGTAAGCCAGAGACAGTGGAAGGGCCAGTCTTGCCATTTTTTTTTCTTTCTTTCTTTCTTTTTTTTTTTTTTAATAACAACTCACCTTCACAAGAACTTACTCCATGAGAATAGCAGCAATCCCTCCAGAAGGCAATGGTCTCAATGAACTCACCACTTCCTACTAGGCCCAAATTCTTAAGGGTTCCATCACCTCTTTTTTGTTTTATTTAATAATTTAAATTTAAATTTAATCTAACTGAATTTTTAAAAAAATGTTAATATACAGAAAAGGGCATTTTCTCATTCATGATAAAATAACTCTTATAAAACTAGAACAAAAAAGAAGGTTTGAGGAGAAAAAAAAAAATATTCCTAACAAAACAACTAGGGGCAAGTGTTGGAACATCTAGATGGATGAACTCAGCACATGAGCTAAGGTAAAGTTGGAGTCTGTAAGACCGGAGTTTTCTGAGGCATAATGGCTGATATCAAGAGTATGAGTAAGATCTGAAGAGGAAGATGAGCAGAGGAATGATTATTAGGCCCTACATATGTCTCCACTTAAAGATGGAAAAAAGAGGAGAAGAAAAAGGAGATACATTTTTTTTTTTCCTGCCTTAGCATTTGGGAGTAAGTATAAGAAAAAAAAAGAAATGGAAAGAAAATGACCTTGCAACTATTGGTTTGCCTATCAAGCCAGCAGTTTAAGTAGTTGCCAAAGAATATATTAATGTAAGCAATAAATCTGTAATATAGCTTGGTCCCTACCTCAAGTCTTACATATTCAGAGACAGATTGTTAAGAAAACTGAATACCACCTGGACAGTGATATAAAGTAAAATGGAAAACAAGAGTAAAAGTAATTCAAATGTTTGTCATTGGGAATCTGTGATAGTTTGGATCTTGAGTGTCCCCCAAAGGCCTGTGTGTTAAAAACTTGGTCCTCGGGGAGGTGCTACAGGGAGGCCATGGAGCCTCTAGGAGGTGGCCCTTGTTGAAGGTCTTTAGGTCACTGGGGATGTGCCATTGAAGGGATCAGTAAAACTCAAGCCCCTTCCCGTTCCTCTCTTTTGCTTCCAGGCCATGAGGTGAGTAGTTTTGCTCCACAGTGTGCTCCCACCATGAGGTGCTGCCTCACTCTGGATCAAGAACAACAGGACCAATCACTCATGGATCAAAACTTCCAAAACAGTGAGCCAAAATAAAACTTTTCTCTTATTAAATTGCTTATTATCTCAGGCATTTTGTTATAGTGATGGAGAGCTGACTAACACAGAGCCATTAAAGTATCTGGACAGGTTGGGCCTGGAGAAAAGAAAAAGAGAGAACTGGGGCTGGTTTTATGATCGCTGATCCAAATAGCTGTACCTCAATTATGAAGGTCCTTGGAAGATAGGCAGGGGCATTTTGCTTTATGAGAAAAGTGAACTTACATATCCTTAAGTATATGATACATTATTGTGTTTTTTTAATTTTTTTTTAGTTGTAGATGGGCACAATACCCTTATTTTATTTATTTTTATGTGGTGTTGGGGATCAAACCCAGTGCCTCCCATGTGCTAGGCAAGCGCTCCACCACCGAGCTACAATCCCAGCCCTTGATTGTATTTTTTTAAGTAGGATTATCTGGTAGTTACAAAGTATAGATGGGGCACACATAAGGCCTAATCACTTGTGTATGAGAGAGGAGAAGATTCTTCATAAGGGTGAGAGAACTTCAAGGAAGAAGACCATTCCAACCCATCTTCCATTTTAATTTGTCTGTGTTTTCTACTGTCATAAAAGCCTTTTATGGTACTGAAGTCAATAGCTCTTATTATGGGACAAACAGAAGTAGCATATGACTCAACTGAAAAATCTATCCCAAGAGGGGCCATTGGACACTGAACTGTGCATGTAATTATTGAAGCAGGACTCAGAGTGAGAGAGTAAGCCTGATGGAAAGGTTTGGGGAAAGCTGTGACTATAAGGATCGTTATTATTTCTGTGTAGTGCTTCCAGTCAATGAGAAGGAGGTGTGAGGCACTGTCCTGAG